CCCCTCCCTCTCCCCCATAGAATGGAAATTATAACATCAGACTGTGTCTCTGCAGCGGAAACCACCCCAGCCTGGACCAGGGGTAATTGGTGCCTTATAGTAGGTCTGCGCTCAGAAGAAGGAGAGGGAGCAAATTCTCTCTGCTTGTAGCCTTTGGATAAATTTGATCTTCTTTGAGAAAGATGAGCCAGTGAGTGTCACCTCCCATAACATAAGGGATAGCCAAAAATTTTAAATGAGTAAAGTACAGGATCATGTGTTGCAGGGTTAACAAGAAATACTATTTTCTACTCAGTGTGAACTGTCAAAAAAAAAAAAAAAAAAAAAAGCAAGCACCAAAGCTCAAGCTGGTGACACTTACTATATATCCAGTGGACTATACACTGCACCAAGATCATCTTTTTTTAATTTCTCTTTTTATTACTATATGTTTGTGATATATAACCAAGTTAATTCTGCATGGCTTCCTGAAGGTCCTTACCCCAGTTCTCACGTCCCTGTTAGAGAGAAATCTTAGCCAATTCCCACTGAAACCAGGCGACAGTCACAAGATAGAAGCCAGGAGGACATCCTCAGACCACATACTGCCAACATTCTCAGACAGGATTTGATTGAAATGGCTTCCTCTGAAAGCAGTGAGGAAAGGATGGGCAAGAGCCCCAGGGCATTATCTAACGCAAGTTCTGTCATAGACAAACAGGCTGGGAACCGCCACCACCCCAAGTGGAAGCAAAACTAGCCAAAAAAGTGCCAAATACTGTGTCCCCTCCCCCCAGCCATGCCTTAGGAGCCCTGTTCTCCCAGCAATTCATCATATGTGGGACAGACAGACCAAAAAACACCAAGGAAGTTTGAGGGCTGGAGATAACAGCTCAGGGGTGGAGCATTTGCCTAATATACAGGGTTCTAGGTTTAAAGGGGAGGAGTGGTGCATTTTTGTAATCCCAGGACTCAGGAGGCCAAAACTGGAGGGTTGCTATAAGTTTGAGGCCAGTCTGGGATATACAGTGAGTTCAAGACCAGCCTGAACTATCTAGCAAGACCCTGTCTCAAAACAAAACAAAACACCCCAAAAAACAAAAAAAAGAAATTCAACAAATTTATTGGGTCAAACCCCAGACCAAGTTCTAGGCAAAGAAAGATGCCTTCATACTCAAGGTGACCAAAGAAAGCTACATCCTGGATAAGATCCCATAACTATCCCATAATGAGCTTATAGTATAAATATTCAACTACTTTGGGGAATAAATGGCAATCTTATTCCCTGGAGCCATTCTCCCTTACTCAAATACATTCCAGGGACACAGCCCTATCTTCCTCTGGGATTCTGTAGAGAAGCAAACAGTTCTCCTAAGTTTATATTCTATCTTCATGACGACTCTGCTTCTGAACACCCTAATGCAGCTCCATTTCATCAGAGAAAATCCTGGATGATCAAAGTGCCTTCCACTCCTATGATTCTTCTTGAGCTCTCCTGGTCACTTTGACTCTGCTCTCCTAAATGTGATGTCCTTTCAGCATTCTGCATGGACAGGGAGACCCTGCACAGAAGCTCACTCTTCCAGGAAGCCTGCCCTGCATCCTTAGCAGGTCGGGCTGAGTGCCTTGCTGTGCTCTTGGCACTGCGCTGGAGCGTCTACCAGCAAGTCTGTCCCCCTTTACTCCTCGCTTTAGGGCACAGGCAGTTTCTCATTGAACTTCTCAGCCCTTCCACCAATCACAGGACCTGGCACAGAACAGACACAGAACCAGTGTGCACTGCACTGAATAATCCTCCCAATGAAAATGCTGTCAAGTTAGTTCTTAGGAAACCTCCAATCTCAAAATTCCAGGGGCAGATTAAGGGTAAAAGCAACATAGAGTAGGATGGGGTTGGCAAGCTGTTCCTCACAACTTCTCTGGCCTGCAGACCCTCTTGGGGAAAGGCCTGGATACTTGGGTTCTAGGCTGCTGGTCTTGTGTCTCCCACTCTGAGGAACTTCCCAACACAGCTTTCCTTCCAGAAAACTCCAGCTTTGGAGTAGGAGGTAAGCCCTTTACCTGAGGTGAGCATGAGGCCTTGAATATGCAGATTCATACCTTTCAAGTTTATAAATGTCTATCGAAGGAGTCTCTAAATGCAGGGTGTGCAAGACTATGATGCCGCCATCACAGAGTCATGCTGCCCGTTACACAAGGACGGTCACTCACTCAGCAGTTACCCCTTGGGAGCCTGTGGCAGCAAGTGCATTAGGCACTGAGCAGAAGCAAATATGGAACACAAGCTCCTCTGAGCAGGGCTAATAGGAAATGCTATTCTTAACTCCTAGAAGGGGGATTGTCCCTTCCACTCCCCCACTTCCTCTTTTCTACAGACATTTAAGTCTTTCTAACCAAACCTTAGGAAAGCACTTAGTGACTTGAACCAACAGAAAGATGTCACGCTAATTCTGGCAGCTGCTAAGTACAAAATCCAGGACTCAGGGCTGGACCAACCTTTTGGGGAGAAGTCTTTCTTGTCTCTTTCTAGCTACTGCCTGTGGCCAAGGATCTTTGGCATTCCTAGGCTTGTAGCCACTTTAATCTCCACTTCTGTCCTCACAGGGCCTCTCTGGGTATTTGTCTTCCCATGTAGTTCCCGCTGTTACACAGCTTGCCAGTCCCGCTGAATAAGAAGGGTCCACCCCAATGACCTCGCTTGATTACATCTGCAAAGACTATTTCCAAATAAGACCATAGTTGCTGGCACTGCAGATTAGGAATTCAACACAACTTTGGGAGGAGAGCGCGAGTTAATCCACACTACATTCTGCACACAGTACAGTCTGGATATCAAGCCAATCTCTGCAATCCAGTGAGACGGAGCTGCATGCGGGCAAGGTCTTTGCAGACCTTGGCCAGCACCCCAAACCTGTAGCCTGGGGTAGCATTTTCAGGAGCCCCCATCAGAAGTCCTCCCTTTGTCCATCCCTTCTTCAAAGAGTTTCCATCCCCATACTCCTGTGTCATCGTTCCTTTAACGTGGGCCGACTGTGTTACATAATTAAGCATGAAATCTACAATTAAAATAAGCATAAAGGGTGCAGCTGAAGAATTTAGAGGAGCAAGAGGGAAGAGGATGGGGAAACGGAGGCACCTAACCTTATTTGATGCCAGATGCTCGCTCTGTCCCGCAGCGAGGTCCACCATCTCAGTGAGGGTGGAGTCCGGGAAGGGGAGGTGCACAGGCCGCGCCGCGGGAGACAGACCCCTTCCCCCGGCAGGGGGCGCGCGAGGGCCTCCGGGCTGGCTGGGCGGGCGGGGAGGTCGATGCTGGGCGGGGAGCCCGCCCCGGAGGGCGCCCGAGCAAGTTTTTGGTTGGCTGCTACCCGGGCTCTGACGGCCCAGGGCCTTTTCAGCGGGGACTCGACGGCGCCTTTCCTTTCGGTCTGCGCGCTCCTCGGTGAGTAGTCCTGTCCGCCGTCCGCGAGCCCCGCCGTCCGCGCCCTCCCGCCCAGCCCCGGCCCCCAGACCCCCGGATCCTCGGATCCCCGGACCCCCGGCGCCGGCGGCCTCCCCCCAGGGCCGGGGCGGGGAGGGCGCTCTGGGCTCCCGCCTGCTGACCGGCCCGTGGGCCGCCGAGGCGGGGGAGGTTCTGGAGCGCGGTCAAGTCTCCATGCGGAGCAGCGTGAGTCCAGCGTTAGCTGCAAACGGCGGTACAGTCCGCCCGCAGAGCCAGTTCCCGCCACAAATGCTGCCTTTCAGTCGTCACTTTGGAAGGTATTAGGCGTTTCGAGAAGGTTTCGGAGAGTTCCGGGAGCTGCAGCCCAGTGAGCCCAACCGGCCCTGAGCCTGCGCTGAGGAAGCCCAGAGTTTTCTCCCAGACGGCAGTTTAGGGGTGGGCAGCGCGGTGCGCGGCGCAGGGAGGGAGGCTGGCTTTTCTTCCCGGGGGAAAACAAGCTGGACCCCTGGATCAGCCTTTGACGGACCTTCCTTCTTAGGTCCTCCACGCTGCAGAGCACCCGAGGCTAACCTGGAGAGCTTCTCAGGAGTTTCTAAGTCTTGGGGTGCTTGTGCCCGCATTTTGAGCACAAATGACCATTCTGAGTGTGGTTACTGATACAGATTACTGTTCTCTAAATTTAGTAAAGTGTGTAAAGATCTAGTGAAAGGCGCAAGAGATCATGAAAGCCGTCATAGGTGCTCTTAGTTCTCTGTTTTCCTCAATTGTGACTGATTACCTTTTTAATGATCAAAAGGTTGAACGGAAATCAATGGTAGTGTGCCTTTAAAGAGAAAGTGTAATGCCCGGCCTTGAGTTACGGGAATCTTGTTCAGCCCTACTTGTGGGGCCAGATCACATGAACAACTTTCATTGTCCTGAGTATCTCAGTTCTGGCAAACTGAACAGGGAATGGTTTTACCATTGCGGTAAGTGTTAGAGTTCCTCTGGAGCCAAAGCATGTAACTTCAGTTTGACCCGTGAGATAAACAGAGAGCTTGGCACAACAGGGCTGCAGCCAGGGTCTATTTATGGCTGTGGAACCGGGAAACTTCTTAGTCTCAGCCCCAGGGTAAACAAGTTAATGCTTTTTGATTCTTAAAATCTGGGAAGGGTGTGCTTCAGGTTTTTTACCCTAGGAAGTTACCATAAACTTGATGTTATTTCATGCTAATTAACAAATATAGTTGGAAAGATAGTAACCGCCGGGCGGGGGGGATTCCTTGAGATTAAGGAATTTTGCTTCATTTCGCTCACAACTGGAAATTACAGAAGACCCCCCCCCCAAGTGTCAAGAAATTTGAAGGTCATGGCTTTATAAAAGAGTTATATTTAGAGATAGTGTTCTGTGTTTTTCCTCAAAGGTAGCCAAAACAATGGCACTCTTCCAAAGACAAAAGTTGTAGCCTGGTATTAATATTGCTGTCACTTTTTTTGTTTGTTTTCTGAACCAGGCTCAGTGGAGTGCAAGATGCTGATAAACACAAGGTATGAACCTATTGAAAAATGTTGGGCTTGCCTTGATAGTGCATAGAATTCCTGGCCAAAGATGAGAACTCTAACCTGAATGGCTGTGTTCTGCTCTGATGGGTTAAAGGATTTACCTGAGGCCAGCTTGATAGGACTTTATTAAATTCATCCACTGCCCCTTTTGCTTTAGGTAAAAGGGGGAAAACCCTGTCTTGTAGTAAATGGACCAATACCAAATTAAGCCAAGAGAAAGGATTTTGAGTATTAAAAAATATGTTAACTGAGTCACAGCACTTAATATGTACCTACCGTGATATTTTCTTTTACAGGTCTGATGCTTGAAAGAACTGATGACGCTCTTTAAGTAGATCAGGTACTTTTGACTATGTATGCAGAACAGAGAATTTGCGCCCCACTTCCCTTGTATTGTAGCAGGGGTGAATTTTGAAACAGGCCCAATTACATGTAGGAATATGTATCTCAGAATTTTCTGCCTCTGCCTAGAACTGTTGCCCCAGCAGAGACTAAATTTTTGTACAATTTGTTTGTTTTTAACTAGCCCTAGTCTAAAACTATTTTGAGAATCATATACTGTGTAAAGGTGGCTGAAACTAATTCATTAAGGTCAGGACTAGCTATTTTAAACTATGTAAAGTGTTTTGCTTTTGAAAAAACATGGTCTTTGTATTTTTTGTGCAGTAGATTATTTTAGTGATTAGATTTTGTTCTTTTGGCAACATGAATTGCTTCCAAGAAATCAGAAAAGAGTTGACTGCAAAGAGGCAAGAGGGACTTTCTATTTTTTATTGTTCCACAATTGTTCTACTTCATTATAGTGGTTGTTACATAATTATACATTTGTCAAATTTACACTTGGTGGGTTTTGTGGAATGTAAATTGATACTTCAATAAACATGGCTTTCAAAACTTTTCTGGTGTCTTAATAACTTACTTTTTTTTCTTTTTGAGACAAAGTCTCACTATGTAGCACAGGCTGCCATGAACTCCCATGATCAGCCTCCTAAGTGCTGGAAACAACATCATGCTCTGGCGGTTATTACATTCAAAGTTTACCTTTATGGATAGTTGAGGTATCAGCACACATTTGCTCTAACTACTCAACTGCTTGGCTATGATGTGGGATTCTTCCCAATCTGAAAATTCATTCTGGTCCCTGCAAGATACCAGAAAGGGTATGAAAATTCTGTCACTCTGTTAATACATACTGCTTGGGGTTCCTTGCACCCTTTCCATATGTGCCAGTTTCCATGTTGAGAAAATTTACCCTTAGCCAAAGCTAGCTAGCCAGAAAGGTAAGGAAAAGGTTCTGGAAATAGTAATCAGAGCTTGATAGTATGCAGACCACATAGTTTACTCCTGTAAAAGGCTAGCCAAAGAACCAGGTCAGGACTCAACAGGCTCTTTGGCTACACCAATACCTATAGGAAAGAACGATAGCTTACGATCAATCCTTGACTACCCCAGAGAGCAAGACACATGGTTCAGAGGTTCTTTGGTCAGTACTACAGTATTGTACTATGCAGTACAATCAGCAAAAATTACAGTACCAAATAAACAAGATATAAAACTACGGGTTGTAAGTTGAATGGTGGGGTCATTAACTGAATCTTTTTCCTACCTTCTCTGCTAGCTGGCCTTGGCTAAGGGTTGTGATTGTACTGCATAGTATAGTACTGTAGTTTTATGTCATTATACATTAATGGTACTGCATGCAAGTTATGCAAATAAAAGCAAAGTCATAAGGTAGTTTCCTTTGACCTGAAATTTCTTTGTTCTGAATACTATAATGTATATACTGTCCCCGGTTCCTCTTATAGCAAACTCATTGCAGGAATGGAAATCAGTTGTTAAATGAGGGATGGCTGTATTTGCTGGCCTCCTGTACCTTACGTCCTACAGTAGAGATAGCTCCTATCTTTAGGGAGTTTACAGTGACTGGTTCAGATTGGCTTCACTTGACTTAGGCTATAAAAGAGAATTTCACTTTGTATCTAGGTCAATGTCTGCAAGATTGAAATATTGGTATAAACTAAAGAAACTTAAATTTCTTTATACTTGTCACTGGCACTTTCCTAAAAGGGTTTTTGGTGGGTTTTGGGTTTTGGTTTTTTTTGTTTTTTTTTACTGGGGATCGAACTCATGACTGCACACTTGCAAGGCACGTGCTTATGCTGCTGAGCTAAATCCCCAGCCCTTGGGTGGTTTATAAACATCAAATAATACAACAATTAGAATGAAACCAAAAAGAGCAGAAATATAAAAACAAGCCATTGGACTGCATGCTGTTACTCTGGCTAATTTGGTTCTGAGCTTTCTAAGAGCAAACAGCCAGCTGGCAAATTAGAAATTTGGCAACTGAACATCACTCACTTCAAAATGGAGGAGAGGAGTGGTCATTTGCATTTGAGGCTTCCTGAAGTAGTTTTTCCCTCATGGTCTCATGTACTTGGAAGAAGTCAAAACCAGGAGCTGTTGGATAACCAAATAAGGACCAAGAAATAGTGGCAGTAGAGCAGATTGGTCAGTTGATTGTATGCCTGTTAAGTTGGGGCCATTTGGTTAACAGGCAAGCGAAGGGCATGAGTGACACTTCCTAGGAAATCCATGCTCATTTTGAACAGATAAGCAGGCACACTTGTGTTTGAAAGGGTTATTTTTATTTTATACTCGTAAAGATTGCATTTCCAACATCTACCTTGTGTTTATAAACTGAAAATTTTTGATTCCAATATTTTGTTAAGAAATTGTGAACTACCACCAGCTAGGATTGTGCGACCATAAATAAACAGCCCCCTGGTGGAGTTGATCTAAACTGCAAGGGACTAATGGTCTCCAGAGCTTCCACCTTGCTTCTGCAGCTCTATGACAGCTCCACAAAAGCCTGTTTCAGAGATAAGAGAGGACACTCAGTCAAATCTGTCACCTTCATTTGTTTCTGGGAACAGGGCAGAATATTGTAGCTGATGGAATAGACCAATGCCATTAACATTGTACAAATGCCCTGGCCTGTTACAGGTAGTCTAGGCAGAATGGAACTATCATGTCACATAGGCCTCCCTTAGTGAAGAAATACAGGGAACTTTGGGGATCATTCCAGAGTCTAAGTGTCTCCAGGCGCTCCAGCATGCCAGCCTGCAGCCACATGTGACTAACGTGTACTTGAAATGTGGCTAGTTTAAACTGACAGGTGTTGTAGATATGAAAAGTCAAACGTTGAGGAATAAAATCAAAAAGTAAAATTATGAATTTTATAAAGGTTGTAAGCTAAGTAATTGGATACGCTTTAAAAATATTATTTGCATTACATTTCTGTAGGAAAACACTGGCCTAAAACATGAATTAAAACAATCATGCACATGCAAATAGTGGCCCACAATAGGAAGATGTTGCTTTTCTACTGTGGAAAACCTTGAGGGAAAATGGAAGAGTAAAATTAGCACTAAAATGCAGACTTTACAGGGAAGTAGCTATTTTTTTTCAGGAACAGAAGTTGCAGGGGTTGGGAGCCAGTACTACTAAGAAGATTTGACATAAATTTTCCTCTCATGTTGCTTATGTTTCTGGAGATTTTAAACAAGACTTCAGAATGTGTTTAGTAAGTTTTCTTTTGTTCTGTGCCTACTCTGCACAAACATTTGTGTGCTTGCTAATCAAGGGCTAAAGAATATTGTAGGGAACATCTCAAGATGCAGCTTCTTCAGGAAGAATCCAGATGAATAGCTCTGGTCTCCTGATCTATTCAGTTGGTTTGTGTGTGTGTGTGTGTGTGTGTTAATACAGTGTTTCAGGCATTTTTCTGGAAGGGGAGAGGTTCAGTGGTGAAAGGCAGCACCATAAATATCACCAGAACTTGTATGAGGTGCTCTTTAAAAACTACCTTATGTTAAGCAAAATGTTCCCCAGAATTCTTCCCTCATTTTCACTTCATTGTTTGCTCTAAAAAGTAGGTCTGTGTAAAATCCCTTCCTGTAGTTTTCCTGTTGCTGTCATTTTGATTTTGATATTTTTTTTCTGCAAGGTGCTAGGGATCAAATCTAGGGACTCACCATGCTAGGCAAGTACTCTACACTGAGCTGTACACCACCCTGTCATTTCGTTGTGTTGTGTTTGTTTGTTTTGTTTTGTTGTTGTGGCAGGGTCTTGCTATGTAGTTCAGGATGGCCTTACGCTTACCTTGTAGCCCAAACTGGCCTTAAATTTGCACAATCCTCAGCCCCCCCAAGTGGGGGGGGATTATAGGCATGCGCCACTATTCCCATCTGTCTTTTTTTTTTTTTAACAGTAATTAAATTCTTCCTTTAGTTTTTATACTTCTTTTACATAGTGGCTCTTAACTGAAAAGATTGCATGATAAAATTAGCAAAATTAAAACTAACCTCTCCAGGTCATCTTGGGAGGAATCTGTCTGGCTATAGTTAATGGGTGAATGTTTCATATTCCAGATAGTTCCACCAGGGCAGATACACCTAAACAGTGGTTCTTAACACACACTTGTGGTATCTGGAGGCAGTTAGCACAGCTGGGGAGGAGGGGTGCTAATCAGTGCCAAGTGGACAGAAACCAGAGATGCTACAGAATATCCTACAATACACAGGATAACCCTACCACAAAAAATGCTGACCCAAAATGAAAACAGTGCAGAGCTGGAGGAATGCCATTTTCATCACCCACTACCTGCTAGGTGCTCCTGGGTGTGTTATACCCACTCCCAAACATGACTTTCCCTCACACGGAAAGGTCCTCTTAATTATGAGGCCTATGTCAGTCAGCTTTTCAGTATTGTGATATAGTACCTGAGAAAATCAACGTGAGCAGGGAGGATAGATTTTGGCCCACAGTTTCAGAGGTTTCAGTCTATGATTGGCTCTCAGCATTGTTTCTGGGCGTGTACAGCACAGCTGAAAACTGCTCACCTCATGCAGCCAGAATCAGAGAGCAAGGGAAACAGCTAGAGAGGAAAGGGTCAGGGGCAAGTTATAGTCCCCAAGGTCACCCAGATTCAACCAGACCCCAATCCTAGATTCTACCAATGATGGCACCAAACTATCTGCTTAACAGATTAATCTACTGACGAAGTCAGCGCCCTCATGATCAGTCACCTCTGAGACTGAGGGGACATTGTAGAGCTAAACCACAACTCCAAACCCGCTCATTTATCATCAAGTGGCAATGCCACAGTCAAACCTGAACACTGAGGTTTTAGTTTAGAAAAAACTCATGCACTAACATCTTTTGTCTTAAAAGAAAAACAACGCACGTGCCATAGGTTCACCAACATTGATACAAAAGAGCTTTAATGCTAGTTTGTTTTCATTTCTGACAAAACTTAGAGCTCTGATAAAATAATAATTTGCCATTAGTTTACCCCAGAAGGTGAGTCTTCTGCTTACTCAGAAAGCTAGCGTTAGTGTTGATTGCTTATAAGTGACCAGAAGCTCCCTATTTTCTCATCATTAGCTAGTGCTGCTCTTATCAGAGCTTGTGCTAGCTTCTTCACTGAGGTGAAGCTCAGCCGAGTCTGCTGTGGGGCTCGCTGGCCCAGCTCCGGACTCCACAGGCCACACGGAGATTTTCCTCATGATCTGTTTCTCCAACCAAAAGCTTCCGTCCTCACTGGGGACGCTTAGCTCAATCAAAGAACATTTGCAAGCCAGCAGAACAACAACAAAAAAATCCATCCAAAGAATCGGTACCAAACATAGTTGGCTGTGCTCTACCTCTAATTTTAATGTTGACCAGAATACCCTAATTATAGATCCTGACAAACAATGGAAATACTGCATTAGGAAATTGGCAGAATTAAAACTAGCCCCTTTCTGTCAGAGATTCTGGGGAAGACTCTCTCTGGCTCCAGTTGATGAGTGAACCTTTCACACTCCAGGTAGTTTCCGCCAGGACAGGCACACTTAAGCAATTGACACTGTTGGCAAAAGTGATGGCACAGTTGCTGTCAAATGTAGCAGTGGCACAAGGCAGCACACTAGTGATGAAGGAAAACCGTGTCACAAGAGCTCTGAGGAGCACTGCCCACCTCTCTAGTTAAAGGTGACCGGGGGCCCTTTTTGGCTGTCTCATTTATGTGGGTGTTTTTAATCTTACATTTTCTTGCATAAAAAAAATACAGCATGTGCCCCATGGTGACAAACAGTATGGAAATGAAGACCAGCAGGCCAAACTGCTGAGGCCGTGGGGCCAGCATGACGAGGATGAAGTGGATGAGGTCCATGAGGTAGTTCAGGGAGCACTGCACACCATTGACAGCCCCTCGCTCCACTTCTGGAATGTTCTCTTGGAGAAGCTGGGTCACAGTGAGGTCAAAGGACCAGAGGCCTGTGGGGCAGCCATGTAGGGGAAGAATAAACATGAACAGAGGTCAGAGAGCTTCAGTGAGATTTGGCCTCTGACACTGACTAGCATTGTTGCCTTAGGTAGAGGCAACTACCTGCTCCTTAGTTTCCTCATCTGAGAAATGGGGACATTTCAACCACTAGCACACTAGACAGTTCCTTGAGATAGTTCAGTAAAATGGATAGCACTGTGCCCAGCCCTCTGTGCATAGTAGTGTCATAATTTATGTTTCTTTAATTATCCTCTAAAATCAGCATCACAAACAGCACCATCAGATGTAGTATAATTTCATTTTAGATGAATTTATGTATGCGCCCACTTCATTGCAAAACTTTTAGGATAGAGAGCACAGTCTTGGGCCTCAAATCTACTTGCAATTTTGGATTTTTTCTCTCAGGTCCTGGTTTAGGAGAGGAGAAACTGGCCTCCTCTCTTCCCCTGCATTTAGCTACCTAAAGAGGCCACGTTTGGATGAGTTTCAGAAGCAGCCTTGGCACATGCTGTGCAGTCATCAATAGGGTAGAAGCCAGCAGTCCAAGTGGCAGTGCTGTTCTGATACCTGCCTTCAAGGGCACCTGCACCCACCTTTGCCTGCCTGGCTGGCTTCTGAATTCCCAAGATTTTAGCACTGGCTCTGCAGAGGTCTCCTGGTTGCCTCTGTCTTGATCCCTGGACTTAGCTCTGGGCTCCAGAATTATTTGGAGATAATGTGCTACATCCCTTGTGTCTGCCTTTATAGAGTACCAGCAAGATCCTTAGCCCTGCTGGGCTTCCCTGACCACCCTGCTGCAGCCTCCATCCAGGCCATGTCAGGCCCCCTGCCTTCCTCAGCTGTCCTGACCACCCCAGGCCTCTGAGAACCTCACTCTGCGCTGAACTGGGCAGCACTCATCTGTAGAATCCCCACCCCCACCCCACCCCTCAGCAAGCAGCGCTTATGAAGCTGGCAAGTTTTTGGAAAAGCCTGCCATGGCACAGTATAAAGCTCTCAAGGCAGAGAGGGCTAATTATGCACTGAGAATGATTTCTAAATTGAGGGGATAAAGAGTTACAGTCTTAGATTTCTACAAAGCAATGTGACTTTGTAAGCTGCGTGCCACATCTTATAGCAGAGTTCTTTTAGTTGGTCTCCAAGTGTTTGCAGAGCGAACATCGAGGAGGAGCCTGTGCTTGGTGAAACACCTGGGAACCAAGGCAGATCACAGGCCTCGCTCCCGGGGACAGGGCAGGCATCGCGTCACCAGGCCTGCCACACTAACCAGGTGTGCACTGCACTCTCACACCACCAACCCCAGGGGCACCTGTACTCCTGACAGGAGTAAACATAAATGGGGTCAGGAAACACCGTCACTCAGCACTGGCTCCCCATGCCACTGCCCACCCAAGCAATACTCGAAAAGGCACCAAAGTTACAGCTAAAATATAAAAATGATGGTGACTGAAGACAACACTCCCCCTCTCTCCCTCCCTTCTTTTCTTTCCTTCCTTCCTTCTTTCTTTCCTCCTACTCCTCTTCCTTTTTTTTTTTTTTTTTTTTTTTGTGGTACTGGGAATTGAATCCACTGACCCACATCCCCAGAGCTGTAACATTTTTTTTAAATTTTTGATTTAAAAAAAATTTTTGAGACAATCTTGCTAAGTTGCCCAGTCTGGCCTCGATCTTGTGATCTTCCTGCCTCAGTCTTTCAAGTAGCTGTGCACTACCACCATGCCCAGATATTTCCATTTTTAACATGTAGCCACTATAGCTGTGACAGTTTGGTGCCAAACGTTTACCTACAGGAATTATTTCAGCACCTCTAAGACTTCCCTAGTAGGAGGCACTGTTAGTGTGTTACGACACAGACTAGAAAACTGTGACTTAGGGGACTTGCTAACGTTCCCAGGCAGCCTGGCTCAGGCCCTGAGCTGTGTCCCTCCTCAGGGTCACGAGAGCTCGGCATCTCTGGAATCCTCAGCTAAGACGCAGGCAGAGACTGTCCTTGCTGCAGGGGAAGGCTCTGTATGTTTCATCTGAGCTGAGGGAAGGCCCTGCTGACACGCTCTCAGGTTTTCTAAATGTATTCATTTCCTTCATGACAGGAAGCCCAGTGATCCTGGCAGACAGGAGTTGCTGGTGGATTTGTTTTTCCTTTTGAACTAAACTCTTTATGTAATATGAACGCAGAAGTCTTAAATGGCCAATCTACTCTTGGTTGTTTGTATGATGAAAGGGTAGAAGTACAAGTCAAACACCAAATGAAAGAGAATCTACGCATCAGGTATCTCACTTAAGAATATTTTAATCTGGGTATAGTGGCAACTACTTGTAATCTCAGCATTTGGAAGGCTGAGGCAGAAGGATCACCGGAGGTTCAGTGCGAACCTGAGTTACACAGTGAGTTCAAGGCTATTCTGAACTACATCTCAAAAAAAAAAAAAAAAAAAAAAAAAAAAAGGTCGGGTAATCCCCAGATCAAAGAAGGCACTTCTAGATCAGTTACTGGGACTAGGAACTTGGTGTCTTTCTCAATATGCACATTACATCAAAGGAATGAGGTTCCAAGGCAAGTCTATGGTTTTATAAGCTTGAACTGCCCTTTGGAATTCTCATTTCCATTCTCCCAAGCTCCCATAAACCAAAAGGTCCTGTGTGTCCCTTGCTTAAGTGAGGAACACATCTCCCCGGTCTCACAATCTGCTGCACTGTGGCCTCAAGCCTGCAAGCGGCTGCTTGGCCCTGCTGCGGGAGGGTAAGCTTGGCGCATAGAGGAGGTGCGCAGGGCCGGCGGAAAGGGCGTGCTCCGGAGGGCTCACCTGGTTTCACTCAGACCTTCCACCACTGCTCCCTACTTTCCACAGCCCTGACAAGGGGTGCTAAGGAGTGCTGGGGGTTCAGAGCTGTGCTGCCAGGGAGTGCTTTGAAGGTGGTGACTTTGAATACATGGTAGCGAATAGATGTAGGAGTCCTGTGTCAGCAAGCAAGACCCAGACTGTCCCAGCTGGACATCTGCAGGTCTGAATGATCACAAGAGCCAGTGTGCTGTGAAACAATTTCTGCTACCATTGTCCTTCATCCCCATCGTGTCGTTGCTGGGGCTGTCAAGCAACAAGTGGCCAAAATTTTTAAAACTTTGTTTCAATAAATGCCCTAACCTACATTCTCACTGCTAGGTAAGAGTAACATCATTGTTGACGGAATTTAGAGACCAAAAACTTGAGGCAGAAGAGAATGTAGAGCCTTAAGGTTAGACACACTGTCTTTGGAGAAGGCCTGCCCCGCCTCCCCAGGCAGCTAATGAAAGCCTTCTACTCACGAGGTCACCACCTTCTGTCCTAATCCCAGCCCCACAGGTCAAAATGCACCCTTCATGTGGGCGCCCTCTGCAGCAGCTACATGCTCGACATGGTCTTTTCGTTTTCCCAGATCTCCAGGATTCCACCTTTCATCCTTGTCTTTGTCCACCACCCACATGCTTGGAGCAGTCATCCCTCTCCCTTCTCTTCAGGGATCTTTAGCTGCGCCCTCCTGTAGGACGATCGAGCTGGTGCCCCTCCTGTGTGTTCTCAGTCCATCTGTCTTCCCCTGACATAGCTCCTCTTAGCTTTCTGGTTGACTATTGTTGACTGCTTATTTATTGGTTTCCCATCCAGGTTGTAAGCACCATGGGACTAAGATCTCATGTGATTAAATCATTCTTGGACCACATATAGTCTCAGTGGGCCAAGAGTGGTAGCATATAACTATAATTCTGGCACCCTGGAAGGCTGAGGCAGAATGATCACAAGTTGCTGTACAGCCTGGGCAACTTAATAATTTAGTGAAAATCTGCCTCAAAAGTTAAAAAATAAAATAAAAAAGGCTGGGGATGTGATTCCATTCAAAGGCCCTGGGTTCAATCTCTAGTTGTTCTTGTGTTCTCAAAGAATAAATGATAAAGACTTACAGTGGTACAGTAGTGAAACCATCAAGTGCTTCTAAAATTACTTGGCCACATCATGGGCCTCAGAATCCCATGCCAAACATGACCCACTGCTCACCGATTCGTGCCAGAATCACACCTGAGAAGAGCAAGATGATGGAGATGTAAGACTCAGGCTGCTCAGGGTCCTGCTGGCCATCAAACAGAACGGTGCTGTTGGTCCAGTGGATGGAAGAGCGATCTGGGAGGATGGGTTGGTTCAGGTTTCTTTCAAAGGGGTAAATGTGTTCCTGGTGCTTTTTTAGCAATGTATGGTTTGAAGAATTCTTGTTTGATGGAAATGAGAAGACAGCCATATCAAAAGGACTTCCAGGAGCAAAGACAGAAAACACACAGAGTGTCAGACAACCTACATGGAGCCAACTGGATACAATTCCTGTGCTGACCAAGCCGTAACGCCCCCTGAGCCAGGTGAAGACAACAGTCCCCATCAGGCCCGACAGGGCTGAAAGGGCTGTAAGGATGCTAAGCAGGGACCCTCCAATCCCTTGGGTGTAGGCGTAGCCAGTGGTGATGCAGTCAAACCCCAGGACTGTCATGTAGAGGAAGGCCATGCCCAGCCCGGCCAGGAACACAGCCTGTCTGCAGTAGGCCTCCCAGCCCTCGCGGCATGTGCAGAGCAGCTTGTGCGTGCTTCGAAGACAGACAAGAATCCCTTTGGCTGTGGCCCGATTTCCTTTAAGATGAGACCCATGATCTTTTGGTTTTTCCAAAGTTCTGATTTTGCTGATGAATGTGTCAGTGTTTTTCCAAAAGTCCATTTCATCTGAAGTAAAATCCAGATAAATTGAAAGTCAGTACCATGCCCATGTCCCCTCAGCCTACCTCAACATCATCTGCTTTTCTGGTAGATGGTTCCAGTGCATACTGAGGGCCTGTCCCCAGGCACCTGCGTCTCTGCCTTCAGTCTGTCTGTCTGTCTTTCTCCCTCCCACCTCCACACCCAGAACGTGAGTGGCAGACAGGCTGTAAGTGCCTCTGGGGACAGCTTTCAGCCAATGAGGGACAAGACTTGGTGGCTAAACACCACAGGTTCCTTGGCCCCTCCTGGAACAATTGTCAGTTACATCCTGCAGTCTCTCAGGGGGTCCCCATGTCTCTCTGCAGTCACCCACATATTACACTCCTTTTTCATGCTTTGGTCACTTCTCTGCCTTCATTCCCAATCTCTCATTAAGGGATCACATTCCAAATCCAAATAAAAGACTTTTCATCCCAAACTCTGTCTCAAGAAGTATTCCTGAGACAATTCAAACTGAGACACACCATCAGGTCGGGAAGGCAGCATCAGAAGGAAAAATATGGGAACGGGAAAGAGGAAAGACAGAGAGGTTCAAAGGCTTGAAACTTGGTAATCAGTTCCTGGAAATAGGAACAGAGACTTCCTGTGACTGTTTTCCTGAAGAAACAGCTACTTATGGGGAAGGTAAACTGGTGCTTTTTTATTTTTCCAGGATATATCAGACAATGATTATAAACAGATTTTAAAAAAACAACTATTTGTGAGAAGTATTCAGCACAAATTAAGTTCTATGAAGGACTGAAAGAGCTAAATACGGCTTTGAAAGGAAGAGAAACAGGTGAATTAAATCCATTTTAGATCTGAAACAAAGGAAGCTAAGGTTCTACATGATAGAAATGAATTTCTTGTCAGGGAAACTTCAAAAAAAAAAAAAGAAAAGAAAAACAAATAACAACAACAATGGAAAGATAGTTAACACTGATTTAAGTTTTCCCCTATGCCAGAGAATGAAATACAGTTTTGCATCAACTGTCCTGTTTAATTGTCACAACATGCCTATGAAATCGGTTCCATTATTACTCTTCTTTACAGATAGGAAGACAGAGAATAGGAATAAATTAGTTTTGCAAGGTCACACAGGTAATATACAGCAGATGTGAAGGATAAAGTTCGATCTACCTATGTATACATTCATTCATCATCTAAATATATACATCAAACTGTCTTTACAATATATGTATATTTTTAAACTGGGGATCAAACTCAGGACATTGTGCTTGCCAGGCAGGCTCTTGTACTGCTGAGCTACATCCCCAGCCTTTATCTCTTTCACTTGTGCCCTTGAGCTACATTCTCGACCCTACAAAATATATATTTCATTCATCCAATGGGATCTGGTGGAACTTCATTCTAAAACAACTTCAGAAAAAAATGAAAGTCTAGAAAGAAAAACTGAGACAAGAAGTAATTACTAAACTGCATTCTACCAGGCAGCTGGGCAACATTGGCAATGGATAGCAGGATGGCTCTCTTTTGGGAGAAGAGGGTCACATATGTTGGCAGGCTTCCCTTCCTTTCATACTCACCATACTGCTAGGGAAAAAAGGAAAACACTATTGACAGCAGAATGAGAAATTCATCACATCCTGACCAAAGAGCAGATTATACTCCTTGACACACTTGCCCTCTTAATTTAGTGTCTTTGGGGATGATATTCATGAATGAGACAGGAAAGAGCAATTTCCTTCCCCAGGGCCATGGGTAAGTTGTATACTACATGGTCCTGCATGGATGGTGCTACTTACATTATAATCTCTCTGAATGGAACCCAAAGAGTTATGCAGTGTATAACCTGTGTAACTGTACAAAACAGCCCTCTTGCCCCCACCAATAAGTTCAGCCATATGAACTGCATGAACAAATGCATAGCTGGAACTTTCTTATTTGTCACTGTTTCTAGGCACATTTATAGGCAAAGTGTTACGATCATAATTAGACACAAGTTCTGGAAAGAAGAAATGAAACACTAAAATAACGGAGCAAAAAAGAACAAGAGGTCTGAGTTTGCATTACCTTTGATGTTCACAGCCTCCTGTTGCCTTTCTAGGAAGTGGCCCCCTCTTTGTTGCTGGTGTTTTACAGCCAATTGGGGAACTAGTTGATAAACCCTGGACAGAAATAGAAACTCTACAAGAAGTGAAACCAAGTTCCATCCAAGAATGAAACCACAACCGATCACATGAGATGCCCATGTCATCACCTGGCCTATGGACAGGGGAGCAAATATATTGATGACCTGGTCCAGCTGCCGGACTGTTGCATTCATCCCTGGAGGTGGAAGGAAGGAAACACTTCAACTCAGTGGATAAGACCATCCTCTAGTGAGTTTCCCATCATGCACTGGCTGGAATTGACAGCCATGCTCCCTGGTGAATTTCCTCCCATCATGTACTTGCTGGGGTTGCCAGCCACACACCCTAGGTATGTGACAGTGACAGAGAAGATCCTTTCCAGATAGTAGGATTTCCAACCTGGAAAAACCTTCAAGGTCAATTCTGCTGGAACTCAATTAACAGATTTTCATACTGGGAGATTAGGTGACTTGGAGATGATTATTTATTCTAACTCCCACCTCAGTATTCTTTCCCATCACACCCTATTCTCCTAAGAAAAACCAACAATGTTCATCTGGGCCTGGTGGTGCAATGCTTGTAATCCCAATTCTGTGGCAGGCTGAGGTAAGTTGAACATAAGTTAAAACTCAGCCTGGCCAACTTGTTGATTTATAGAGATTGTGTCTCAAATTAAAAAAAAAAAGAGCTATGGATGTAGCTCAGTGTAAAGGCCCTGGAATCAATCCCAGTACCTAATAATAATAATAATAATAATAATAATAATAATATAGCTTTTGTATTCCCCATTAAAATGACGTATGACAGAGGAAGCAGGTAGGGTAGACGTATGACAGGGTCGAGGCAAGAATAAATACTTACTCTGTGTCAGACCTACAATCCCAAACCTTCTACCTATATACATTTTACTTAATCCTCAAGACAATTCTTAGAGATCAAGACTGTATTTCCCTTTTGCAAACTAGGAAGCTGAAGTACACAGAGGTGAACATATTTGCTCAAAATCAAAAAGAAGGAAAATGGTAGATCTAAGATTCAAACCTAGGCAGTCTAAAGCTTGTGCTTATAATCCCAGCACTCTGAGAGGCTGAGCAATCTAGTGAGACTCTGTCTCAAAATTTAAACAAAGGGCTGGGGCTGTATCTCAGTGTGAAGGCACCAGGTTCAATCCCCAGTACCCCTCCACCCAGTCCCTAAAAACAAATCTTGACTCCAAAGCTTATTCTCTGAACTCTTTCATCATCTTTGAAGAATAGGTTTCCCAAGTCATTTAAGAAATTGCAATGAACTTGAATCACAATCTGTACTTTATCTTAGATTTCTTTAAAATTAATGCACAGGGCTGGGGATTTAGCTCAGTGGCATAAGCATCTGCCTGGCAGACGTAAGGTCATGAGTTTGATCCAGTACCAAAAAGCAAAACAAAACAAAATTAATGAACAGAGAATGGGAGGAGTTTCTTTAACCAAAGGCAGCTTCTTTATTCAAACACCATGTCACCCAGCACTTACTCATATATCTGTTTTATTTTGGGTGGTGTTATTTAGCCACAGTACATCTAAATAAGTGCTATTAAAAAAGAAAACATGATTATAAGGGGCTTCTCCTCTTTGTAAGCATATATTTTAGTAGACTTCTTAATAGCTTCCTTTATCCTGGCCATCAACACTCATGCATATTTTCTAGCAGAAAGCGCCCACTGCACAAGCACAGGACAAGACTAGTTTGCTTTACATCTACAATTTGAATATCCTGCAGTGTGGGCAATCCTCATTTTGTAAATAAAAGCAGAAACAAACTTGTCAGATTATTCCATTGAGCGTCTTTATTGGAAAAAAAAATGGGTGGGGGAGGGCAGTTTTTGTCTGGGAGGGTGGAAGCTTATTACCAGTCGGAATTAAGAAATCTTTTAGTTCATTTATTTTCCAGGTCTACAATTGTCAAGGAACTTCTGCAAATGAAAGATTCCTCTCCTGAAAATGCAGCCTATATAGCAATGGCAATCATTTACTAGACACTTCTGTGTATAGACACAGTGTTAAGCACTTTACAAATCCGGTATCTCATAGGATCCTTTCTCACACTGAGCTCCGTGTGTGTGTGTGTGTGTGTGTGTGTGTGTGTGTGTGTGTGTGTGTTTCCCCATTCTACAGTTAAGGAAAATCAAGGCCTGACAGGTTAAGTAACTTGCCCCATGGTATACAGCTGGTAACAGGCATAGCTGAATTGAATTCAAGCCTAAACCTGGTTGTGTCCCAATACTATTCTCTTACAGGAGGTGACACTACCTCCCTCAGAGCCCTGCATGGCCTTTCTCTACTTCTCAACTGATCAGAGGCCCAGGGCAGCACTGCTCACCAGCCAGCTGGCCTCTGTTGTCCCCTGTGATGCTCACAATCCAGTCCCTCTGAATGGTGATGGTCAGTGCGGTCCCCGCCAGGTTCGCCATGGCCGCCAGGATGATGATTGCTGCATAGCAGGCTACCTACCAAAGGAAGCCCAAAATAGACTTTCTGTACCCCAGTGGTATGCATAAGCATTTATCTGACAGAGGGAGAGAGAGGAAGGCTGTGTAAAGTCTGGAGCCAATGTCATGCTAATGCTAAGCACATTCTGCCCCTCGCTCCATCACACTAGATCTGACGCTAATTTGTACCTTGCAGACTGACTCAGCTGCTCTGTTGCCTCCTTGTCTGTGGGATTTGGGCTTAGATTCACAAATCTAGGCTAATGAAGGCACCAGGCCCAAGTGGGGCCATCCCGAGGTGACCCCCCAGCCCTCCTGGCCATCACCGCATGAGACAGAAGGGGGACACTCACAGTGAACCAGCCGTACCACATTCGGTCCATCTCTCCTTTGTAGGAGAACACGAGCATCAGGACCACACAGCAGGTGGTGACAGAACCGTTCTGGATGAAGAGTGCCGCCTGAGCCACTGCAGATGGAAACAGCCAGGGGCCTATTATTTACTCTAGGCTTCAAGAGGCAGGTCACAGATGCATCATCACTCAGTGGGATTTGACCAAATCCCGGTGTCAACCAGCAAACAGGCTTGTCTTTTCCATCAGCATTACAGGCTTCAGTAGGGAGCAATGAACAGCTCAGGGCTCACTAAGGACAAAGACTTTAAAACTAAAAGAAAAGAAAAGCTGGTCTTTGCAAAGGAATGAAAACAGACTCCAAGCATAGACTGATATGAGAAGCCTTACTCCAGCTGAATTAAGGACCTTGACATTTTCTACTGCTGTATCTGCTTCTCCTGGATTGCATCTGTGGCAGAATACATCACTGAGCCTCAGGAGCAACATTCCACAGTTTTGTTTTCTTTGAGATAGTGTCTTACTATGTAGCCCAAGTTGGCCTTGAACTTGTGATCCTCCTGCCTCAGCAACCCCTTCCAGGGTTGGGAGTGCAGTCATGTGGCACTAATCCTGGCTCCTGATTTTAAAGAAATTGGGATTTTCTATGACATTGTTCAGTAAATGCCTGTCCCAGGCCTTTGGGTGGAATAAAAACAATCCTGTTGACCAGAAATCAAAAGACAGCAAAACAGAGAAAATCCCACATTTAGATAAAGGAAGTACACAAAGATACTACAGCCACAAGCTGAAAGGAGATCTACCTTTTTAATAAATAAGCCTTCAGATTTTAATTCCTAGTATTTGGGAAACCAGGGAAGTTTTTTTGGGGGGAGGGTACAAAATCTTACACATAGAAATTGTCATTAATATGTGTAACATAAGTATTATACATGGGTGACACTGGAATATTAAAAAGAAAGCATGTTTCTCAGGGATTTTATATTAAAAAAGTACTTAGGATCTAAAACTTCATTAAAGGGCTGAATGTGTAGCTCAGAGTTAGAGCATTTCTGGAGCATGTATGAGGTTCTGTGTTCAATCTTTCGCACGGCAAAAAATAAAACAAGTAAAATCCATATTGAAGTATTTTAAATAGAACACAAGAGAATGTGGCACAACTCTTCTAGGGTTTTCAAGTTATGCTTATGGTAATTTAGCCCAGATTTATAATTGTATTTCACTAAACAAATCAAAAAAGCTAGTGTGGTCAGAGTGTACCACATAATCATACACATCGTAAGAATGATTATTACCTTTGTTTCTTGGTTTCCTGTCGATCCATTCTCCAATTAAGACCCCAAATATTAATACAGATCCAGCCACTACTAAGCCAAACACCGCTGTTAGAAGAAGATTATGTCCATGTAATTCTATCAGAAACACGGATATGGCAAAGTGCCACATTCGATCTCCCTGCAAGGCAGTAGAGGCAAAGCATGCTTTAGTCACTGACTGAAGTACAGCTTAAGGTTAAAATCCAGAAAGATGCATTTGTCCCAAAGGATATGTAACATGCAAACTTTAGAAACAATGTCAAAGTGATACTTTTATGCAGTACAACTATAAGTTAATATACAATTTATCATAGCTTTAAAAAGCTGGGAAGAATGTTTGCTAAAATCTTAAAAGCATCAAAGAGTCAATAAATTGATGAGAAAATATCAAACACACACCTTGGGAAAATATGAGAACCCTAAGAAGTGAAAAACAGGATACCTTGAGGATATTTGCTAACCAAAGGCAATATTTGTGAAATAGGACTGCCGCTTTGGTGGCCTCAGAAAATCAGATGAAAAAAGTTCATCTACTACAGATAAGGACCAGCTTTAAACTGAGATTCCATGGAAACCGAAAGTAGGCCAGCTCCAGTTTAGGCCTGTAATCTAGAAGGTTCAGGAAACCCTAAGCACTGACCATGGACTAGTTAAGTCCCTGTGCTGACCAACATTATCATTTCCCTGAACAAGCGCAGGCTTAATTAGAGGCAAATGCATCTGAGAGAAGGCAGGTAAAATCCTCTCCAAAAGAAGAGGCTATCACGGTAGACTTCTAAGTACTCCTGAAATAATTGTTAAGCTTGATGTTCAACACACCAGTGTTATAAGAAAATGGAGCACCACAAGAATAATCTACAATCAATAAAAACAATAGAGACAGACTCATTGAGACTTCAGATATTGAGATCATCAGATGCAGGCTACAAAATAGTAATAATGATTACTATATCCAAAGATAATCTGAACAGAGATGGGAAACAATAGAATGACATGGGCAAGTATTTTGCTTGTTTGGTTGGTTTTTAAAATTTTTTCATTTAGTTTTGAGACAGGATCTTGCTATGCATTTCAAGCTGTTCTTGAACTCACAGCGACCCTCCTGCCTCAGCCTCCCAAGTACTGGGATTATAGGAGTACACGATTATGTCCATTAGCAGGGGCAGTTTGAAGGAAAAAATTAAATAAAAATTTCAAGAGTAAACAGGACATGGTGGTACATGTCTGTAATCCTAGCACTTGGGAGGTTGGGACAGGAGATTCACTGTGAGTTCAAGGCCAGCCTGGGCTACATAATGAGTTCAAAGCTAGCCTGAACTACATAGCAAGACCCTGCCTCAAAAAAAAAAAAATTAGGAATAAAAAAATATAATAATATGAACTAATATCAAACATTCAGCTGATAGAATCTAGCAAAGTAGATATACTTTTAAAAATCAGTTAATTATAGGGGCTGGGGATTTAGCTCAGGGGCATAAGCACCTGCCTTGCAAACAAGCAGTCGTGGGTTCGATCCCCAGTACCGATAAAAAGGATAAAAACAAACAAACAAAAAAAGTTAATTATAAACATCTGAAGAAACACACAAAGACAAGAATGAAGGATGATAAGACCAAAAAAAGAGAAAGAAAGAAACTCATAGTGGTCTGAATAATAGAAAACATAAAATAATATGGTAGATTTAGCTTATGTATCATCAGTTATCATTAGATATAAATAAACTAACTGTGCTGGCTAGAAAATGAAGATCGACAAATTGGATTTAGAACTAAAATTATATGCTATTTAAAGTGTTGTTTGTGTTTTTCTTACTACTAGGAAATGAATTCAGAGCCTTTGTACTGAGTTACATTTCCAAGCCCTTTTTAAATTTTTAATGTTGAGACAGGGACTTGAACTTGTAACCCTTCGGCCACCACAGACTGCTAGGACTGCAGGCATGTGCCACATGCCCAATAAAGAAAAGAAACTGAGGGAGAGGTACTAGGAACCTCAGGACCTCATGCTTGTCAGGCAGGCTCTGCGCTACTGAGCCAAATCCTTGACCCCTACGAAAAATATTTTTAAAAGTATAATAAAGCACTGAAATAAAACAATGAATAATAGTACACTGTGTAAATACTAACCAAAAGGGGTCCAGGTTACAAAATTAATATCCAAGTAGACGCTAAAGCAAAAAGCATTTCTTAAAATAAAGAGGATTTCTTTTGATGATACAAAATTCAATTCATCACAAAGATAAAAAATTTCTAATTTTCTATGTACCTAATAACAAAGGCTGAAATATGTTATATAAAATATATAGAATTAAAATGAAAAATGAACAATCATTGAGGAAGATTTTAAGTTGCCACTTCTCTCTCTTTGTAATTGATAGAATAAGCAAAAATATAAATGCATTTTAAGTGCATATGTACTCATTCAATCTAAAGGTTACATAAAAGCACTATACTCAAAACCTCAGATTAGACATCATTTTAATATGAAGTATTTGTAAAAAAAAACCATCTAATAAATTGAGAGAAATCTTAATTTCAGCATATTGAAATCATATAGAAGATGTTTTCTGACTTCAAACAATTAAGTTAAAGTCAATAGAAACAAAATCCAGAAATTTAGTTTACACTGAATTTCCTCATGCTTATAAATTAACAGATATATTTCTAAGTAATCCATAGGTCAAATCAGCAATCATGAAAGACATTATACAGTATTTTTTAAAAAGTGTACCCAAGCTTGTCACATGCACCTATGCACTGCCTAAAAAGAAACCTGTGCCTTTAAGTAGAGCTATTAGAAAAGGAAAGCCGAATTCAATGAGCTAAATGTCTATATTAAAAAGAAAAAGAATAGCAAAAGAAACCAAAGAAAGTAAAGGCAAGGCAATAATAAAAATGGGCAGAAATTAATGAACTAGAAAAATTAAGACACATAGAAAAAGTCTTGCTAAATCCAAAAGCTGACTCTTCGGAAAGATTAATAAAATAAATTATATAGGATGATAAAATAAATAGCACACAGCAATAATACCAAACCAGGGCTTCTTGCAGCAACATGGACACTACACAGTGTAAAGCAAAATAGGCGAGTCATAATAGAATATATATGGCAGCAATACATTTAAAATTCAAAGACAAAACCAAATCACTCCATATAAGGATGATCATACTAGTGGTAAAATTCTAAAGAAAAATAAGGAAACAAATGCCATAAAGATGAGACTCGTGGCTGCTACTTGTGGGAAGGATTAGAGGGTATGACCATAAAGGCCCTGTGAGGGACTCTGGATGCATCATAGCTCTTTGTTGGGGTCATTTTATGGCATCCACTTTATAATTACTTCTTAGAATTCTCTCTCATACATGTGTATGCAGGTTCTCATATTCCTCTATTGCTCCATATTTGGTAATTCAGGACATCTTTTTTTGTTTTTATTTGTGTGTATGTGTGTATTTTGTTTTATTTTGAGTCAGGGTCTCAGTACACAGTTCAGGCAGGCCTTGAGCTCTTGGCCTCAAACTCATAATAATCCTCCTGCCTCAGCCTCTTGAGTATACTCTGTCCACAAAGACATCTCTAAACAAACACACACACATGTCGTAAGCAGTATTTGAGGCATTCTAATATTCCCAATATTACAGTTTGCTTTAGCGAAAATAATATTAATTTCATTGTTTGCATCTTACCCACATTGATAAGGCACAGCTTGCATAAATCAAAAATCTTGGACTCATGAGGTAGTTCAAAGTCGCTCCTAAAACATACATCCAAATCATAAATGTTATTAAATATATATGTAAAGAACATTTTTCCAGTAATGCAGAGAAAGTAAAATACTGGTTAGCATGAACTTGCTTTTAGAAAGTAGCCCAGAACTAAACAGAAATTAATGCAGGCTATAGGGTCTGCTCAGCAAGTTGGGGAATTCTCAGGGATTTTGTTTAGATTTTAGTGACTGGGCAAACATTCAGCACATGTCTAGAGGCAGAGAAGGAGGAAAGCCATTACACTGTAACACATGCCTCAAAGGGAGTGGCCCCGGAAGTGTCCACAGGCCAGCCTGACCTCAAAGGACACAGGCGGAAGTGACTCCTGGGGACCGGGAGGGAGCTGACCTAGGACTGAGGACTGCAATATAGACCTCGCTTTTCAGACTGGGAGAGAACAGTGGTGCAAAAGTTTGGAGAAAAAAAAAGTGTGACTGCAAATAAGAAAAAGGAGCTGGACGGTGATGTTCAAGAGGCACAGGGACAAGAAATGGAAAATAGAAAGCAAATCCAAAGGGGCGCCCAGTTCCCAGAAGGAGCAGTGAAGAAGCAGGTCCACAAAGCCACTGCGTCCCTCCACAGATTCCCAGCCAGGCAGACCTCTCCTGCCAGCCCTCCTGACCCTCAGCCCTTACAGTCTTGACTCCTCTCTGTTGTACCCCATGCCTTAATTAATTGTCATATTTGAATCTTTTTTTGTCTTTAAGAAAATCCTCAGTCTAACCAATTCACACCGCCTCCCTTGCCGCCCTGGCCTCTCACCTGAATTATAATGCTGCCCTAACTTCTCTCCCACTCCCACTCCGCCCACTTTCAATCTGTTTTCATCACAGCAGCCAGAGCAGTCCTATTAAAAACCTAAGTCAGCACATGTAACTCCACTGGAAATTGGGGTCCTTACCATGCCTTCCAAAGCCCTCCAGCACCCAGGTGCCTCCATCTGTGTCTCTTTCCTCTGCTTTACCATTGATGATGTTCCAACTGTACCAGCTCATCCTCAGCTCTGGACCTTTGCATTTACTGTTGCCCGACAGGATTATCTACCCTCAGGACTCACACCACCAAGCCCATCAACCCTTGACCTTTCCTTAGAAGTTATCTTTTCAGTAGAATATTTCTCTACTCATCCAATCTAAAAATTGCATACTGGAGCTGGGCATGGTAGTTTGTGCCCAGGTACTTAAATGGCACCCTTTGAGCCAACAAGATGGACAGCAGCCTGGGCAACATAAGATTCCATCTCAAAAGTAAATATATACATATATACAAACATAATGAATAAAAACCACATAACCTCTAGATCAACGCCAAACAATGGAAAATTCTGCAAAGATGGGAAAATAGCTTCATTGTCCAGCAGGGTAACTATTATGTGACTACTGAGAACAGAAAGTGTGGCTCCTATGACTGAGGAACCAAGCTTTTTAACTAATTTAAATATAGTCACACAAGGCTATCAGCTACTATGTTATAAGTGAAGTACCCATATGCTCAACCATCTTCTTTTGCTGATTTTTCTTTACTACTTGTTAGTAACATATTCTCTAATTTATTTATCATTTGCTTCCATATCTTGCTTATAGTTTGTTCTTCCTGCTAGAAAGTAAGCTTCATGAGGGGAAAATCTTTTTTTAATTTTCCTCTACCATATTCCTCACACCAAGGACAGCTCCTGATATGTGGTACATCCTTAAAAATATTTGCTAAGTGAACATGTAGAGGTTCAGGAGAAAACCTAAAAGTGCCTTGCAGGCACTGGTCTGGGGCTGCTCTGTTAAATCTCATCTTCCTACCTGTATGTTCATCTGTTCTGGCACTTATTTTTTTTTTTTAATTTGTCCATCTAGTCAGACAGCTGCATCTCATTTCCCACTGGTGTGCTCATCACTTTCCTCTTGACCCACTCCCTGCTCTGCAGCCTCTTGATTTTGGCTCCTCAGAGACTTGCACAACCAGCCTTGGCTCTGCTAGGCTTAGTTTCAATTAGGTGACCCTGAGACAACACATGGCAAGAGGCCCAGGGCAGCCCTGGGTGCTGCAGGCAGCTCTTCTGTGCTAAACCTCCACTTTGAGTCTGCCTTGCTACTGCGGTTGACAGCTGAGAGGTGCCCTGAAATAACAAGGCAGGCCTAAGCCATCAGCTCCACATGCTAACTCATCAGACAAACGACCCATGAGGACAGTCTTCTGGATGCCTGAAGACCTTTTGAGTGGAGACCACTCCCTCCCATCTCTTCCCAGGACACGTGTCCATGGTGCCAAGGATGGCTGGGTGCCCCCTTTTGATTTGACTGACTCTGTTCTGTTATGTCACATTTGGTTCTACTCTCTTCCAAAAAAGTAATAAGAACTGTGGGAGCAACAAAACCCAAAATGTGTAATTGTCATTGTACAAAAGAGAGGAAAAGAAAGTGCTCTAAACGATATAACTGCATGTATATTTAAGTGTATAAGATAGATAATGAAATTACTGAGTTTTGTTGGATCATTGAACAGAACTGTTTGCAGTCTCACTGTTGGAATGTCCACTTTATAAGCTTTAATTTTGTAACTTGAACAATTATTTCTAAGATGACAATATGTAATCCATTAACTAGTGATTTCTTACTGTTTATTTTTTTCTGTAAATCTGTATAACTTATAATCTGCTTTTTTTCTTTTTCTCCTTAAATAAAATTAAAAAAAAAAAAAAAAGGATGGCTGGGTGCTTACTGCTGACCTGAGAATGCATTCTAGTACATGGATAATCAGTGTGTCCCACTGTTCTTGAAAGAAAGCCTCCTCTTGAGTCAGTAGATAGTGAAGAAGACAAGAGGAAACCCTAGAAAAGTCTAGTTATGACTACTTGTTATGATCAATAATGGGTTTTCACTTTAAAATGTCAAGAATACCCTATTGTGACGGCCTCACACAGACTGGGGAGGAAGTCAAAATTAAAACAGTTGTTGAAAGCTTTCAGTTTTCTTTCTGTATTAGCTCTGATGGCTCATTTAACTTATAGATGTTTGTATCAGCCAGGAACATCCCTTCTGCATAAATAAGGGAACAACATAAGCCACTTAGTGCTCCTTGCATCTGGAGGACACTCGACAAACCGTGGCTAATAATCCAATGAGTAGTTGTGACTATACAATTCCACTGCACGGTGTTTATCATAGGGAGAACAGCTTTTAAAAGTAAATTGTATGTTGAAATGTATTACTAAAATTGAAAATGAAGTGAAAGATAATTCTATATGAATGGTAAAATATTTCCATTTCATTTGACTGAATAGATTACATAAACAAAGACAAGAAATCTAAATGAAAGAAATCTTCTTTAGAGTACCATTTATCTTCTGTTAAACATCGACATGATTACAGTGCAGGATGAGTTTTTCGTAGTTTCACTTAGCATCTCTTTGGTTATCTGGTGAAACAGCATGATTTCCTAAGGAAAATGGCATCTGTGCAGCAAATGACAAGTAGCCTTTCCTCCTGAAGGGAATGCTGATTTCGCGCTGGGTGACTGCCCACTGATAGCCCAAGGGATGAGTCACACCGGATATCAGTCTTTCAGGTGATTCTATTTTGAGACTGCCCTGCAGCTAATACTGGCCACAGGACCATTCTAGACAAGAGGCCTTGGCAGAAGAGTCCCAAGAGTTTCTGGGAAAGATCGCGCTTTCTGATGGAAGAGTCAAGTGCAAGAGGGAGCTTGCTTTGCTCTGCCCCACCCGAGTCTTGCCTTTGAATGTGGCCGGGATGACCAGAGATCAGCAGCTGTCTCGCCATCCTGAACAGGCCGTGTCTGAAGCCACTCCAGGTGCCAAGTGATGGGCAGAACAAGCTGCGTCTGGATGACACCACTGAATGGCTGAACTAACCATTACAGATGACTCTAGAAACACTTATTTAGTAAAAAATGTTCTAAAAGCTTAAGAAGAAGCAAGATATATCATGTACAGGCACAAATTCCCTATAAAAATGTTAGTATGTTTAGCTAAAATGTACCAATAAAGAAAAGTTTAAACCTTTGTCAGCTGAGTTTTATTTGTAGCCAAAAGCATTTCCAACTGATAATCTCTTTAACTATCTTGTTTAGTGACCACTCATATACTCTAGCTTTAAAATTTTTTAATTAATTTATTGGTATATTTTAGATATACATAATGATAACACCCACCATAGGGAACCTATACTGCATACGATATATCTTGCTTTTCTTCCCATTTCCCTTCTTCCCTTTAATCTCTCTTCCCTTCCTTATTTACATTTTTCCCTTCTATTCCCTTTTTTGTCCATTCTAGTTTTGTTGCTAATGTTTGCCATATTTGTTTTATCTTTGTATGTACTTGTATTTTCAGTGTATACAGAAACTAAATTATAGACATCATGACGTTACTCCTTCAGCACACATTTCTTAAAATTAAGGTGTTTTCTTCCAAAATCACAATGTTACTATCTCTCTCCAAAATACTAATAATTCTCTGACATCATCTGAGAGCTGCCTTATCTTTGGTTTTCTCTGTTATCCCCACAATGTGTTCTTGTGGTTGGAAAAACTTGCCACTTAACTGCAGCAAATGGTTTTGGAGAACATTGAAGCTGAATACACGTGCAGGGCTGTGGTGTGGCCTCGGCATGACCGAACTGAGAATGAGGAGACACCTCAGGGGCAAGACAGGCCACAGCTGAGGCCACCTAGGACTTTCTGGGGATACTTTTCCTTAATTAGCATCATCTGTTGCTCTGAGGAGTCCTTGAACCCTCCCAAGATCCTGTTCAGGCTCAATTCCTTGCTTGTTCTGATTAAATACGGGCTACCTAGCATCACTCGGCCGGCCGACTAGCTGAGTTACGAGCTCTGACAAGGATTTTACTCCTCATGCTGCCCTAAAGACCATGGCGCTTGTCTCATTCCTTTGGGCCTTTGTAGTGTTCCCATTTGGGGGATTGGGGGTCTAGGCACAGACCCCAACAAAGTGGGACTTGAGATTTTTAAATTG